TGTACAATAATTGTTTTAACCATATATAGAATACATTTTAACCATTTATGGAATTTATTTATATTCAAAATTAAAATGTATCTCTCATTTTTCAAAGAACAAAGATAGTTACAACCAAATTTTTAGACAAATGCATGCCATTAATCACGGTGCAAGTCCTATATAAACCCCCATAATTAGTTGTTGAAATAATAATACAAAATTTCATCCTAAATTTTGGTTATAAGAATCGTTACTCTGCTTCAAGACACGTTGCTCACCAAATGTAAGTAGGCAAAGGTTTTAACTCTAGAATTTTCTTATAAGTACGCCCAATTCTTCTAAACCTGCACATATACCTTCATTTTTCAATTAAACATTGCCAAGAATTCTTTTTTTCTCCTTTTATTAATGTTTAGCCCTTGTTGATTTTGCCCAGCGACCACGAAAAAAAGGATAGAGATGAAGGTGACAATTTTATATTTTTTTGAAGTTATTCATTTAAACAATTAAACTAGTGATTTACCAGAAACAATCCAGCTTAGTCATGAATTGAGGTTCAAGGCCAAATGCTAAAATTTGCTAATTTTTGTTCTTCTCGTATTCGATTTTACCTCTCTACTTGAACTTGAAAGAAATTTTCTTCTTTTTTACACAAAAAATATTTCCTTTTTATGATACCTTATATTTAAGAGGTATCCTAGTTAATTTTTTTCTAGAGACCTAAGCAAATAGTGGTAACCTAAGGGAAATAAAATTAGGACCTTTGCGTTTGTGCTTCACAATCCAACTCAATCTTTGTTTCCATCCTTATGTCTACTTATTTTCCCTCATGACTTTGCATGTGATAATGGCATATCAAGCAACTAAAGATATATAGAGTAGTTCAAGCTCTCATTAAGAATCTCCAGCACCTCGTCTTCTTCGTCCACCACTTTTCCCTTCTTGTCCGCTTCCACCGGCCTTCTCCTCAGTAGCTCTAGCCCCCTCCTTGCCTGGTCTTGTTCTGTGAATGTCACGTCATCACTCTTTAATATGCTTCATAGGATTGACCAATAGACCACTGGAATGATCACCACCGACTGTTGGAACTATTTAATCGTCATTGTTCACTCCATTGTAGTTAGGGCAATCCCATTGAATCTTGGCAAGATTCTCGAAGCGACACTTGAGATAGGTGACATTCTTGGAGGTGACACATAAAGGTTAGGAGGCAGCCATTTAAAGTACTATCGGCTGGTTGAGGAGCGAGTGGGAAAGTCGGGCAGATTATATAGATATGAAACTTAACTCCTGAAAAGATTAGAAAGAATTTTTAGTTGTTGAAAAGATATTTTTATTTCTCAAAAATATTACTTTGATAGATATGGTATTACAATATGAAAAAAACAACAAAATCACTAAAATAGAGAAGTACATCTCTTTACAAAGGAGAATACTTACTGGTAAATCACTGATTCGATTTTTGAGACAACCTAGCTTTGAGATTAATTCATCAACTTCATTTGCATCCTCTTCCATGATCTCTACTCTCCACCTAAATGAGAATTGTAAAGGGAGATATATTTTCATGGTTATGCAAAGGAATGTGTAGATATATTTATACGCATAATGTAAGGTTAAAACTACGGCAGATTTACATACGGCGCACAATGTTTTGAAACCACTGGATATATTTGTAAACCGTATATAAGATTGGATGAAACTCCAAATCTACTCTCAGAGTATGGGGGCAAGGACAAATCTACCCTCAAAATAAATATAGGAACAAATTACCCCTCTAATTGTATAAATTAGACAAATTATCCCAAATTTAACTACTGATATTTTATGACATCAACTTTCTATTACTACCAAAAAAAAAAAAAAAAGTAATGGAAAGCTAATGTCATATGTTGATAGTAGTTGAATTTATGGTCATTTGTCCAACCTAATTAGTTAATGGAGCAATTTGTCCTTGCATTTAGTTTGAGGGTGAATCTGTCCCTATCCCTATACTACGGGACAGATTAAGTGTTTGGGCTACAAGATTTTTCTGTATGGCATACCATATTTGCAATACAACACACCATTTTTAAAAACAATGGGCATATTTATGAATAGCGCACATAATATTTACAATAATTTTTTTTTTTTTCGTATTTATGGTCAGGGTGTCCTTGGATCAATTTTCACACACCTTTAGACTAATTCCTCCTCAAGCAATCTTAAGGGTGCACCCTTTGCCTCAGCTTAGTGCATCCAAGAAAATTAATTTCCTTTGGTGTTGGCCCCAAAATTTGAATCCTAAACTTGACATCTAAGACGGCACTTGCTTATTAGTAAATTCAACTCTTAAGGTTACAACATTTACAATCTTAACACAATGTTTTGCAAATTAGCAGGCATATTTAACAACTGCATGCAAGGTTTTCCTAAACTATCATATTTACTATAGCAGCATATAATATTTCAAAAATTAGTGTGCATTTTGACAAATTGTGTACAAAATTTTCCTTTATAATATTATAATTATAGCATTGTCGTCGATGATTTTAAAGGTGAGGGTGATGATTTTAGATTTGGTTGAAAGTTAACTCATTTCAAAGATTAGATTAGTGATCTAGCAAAAAACATATACTCTCAGCATGAGTTTAATTTGAATTGATGGCCATGTGCTAAGGTTAGCAAATTTGTTCTTTTTACCCTTTGGTATTACCTCTATGCACTAGGAACTTGGAAGAAATCTTTTTTATTTCCTTCTATAGTACTTTACTGCAGAATTTGCATTATTGATCATATCTTATCATTAAAACAAAATCCTAAATAAATTTGTTCTTAATATGGATGTACGCAGGTGAATGGTGTAAAAGGAGGTTCAACAGTCACAATCTTGGCATTGACAGTCATGTAGAGATGCCTTACCGCCTATGTAAGAAGTAATATGTGCCCTATCTCCTTCGAGTGGAAGTAGAAAGACATTTCTAACACAATTTTGGAGGACTTGTCAATTTACTTGATATTCCAACTATACGTCAGACTCAAAGCTGGAAAATTTATTAAAGATTGCAACCGAGACAAAAATTAAAATCCTAGAGCATGGAAGAATCTTTTAACGTATTTTAGAGATTCAAAAACTCCATGATTGCAAAGGTATTAAGGTTGCACTAGCATATTTTAATGAAAAATACTCATTTACCAAAAAATTAATTTATGGTCTTCAAGGATTTTTCCTACATTTATGGCTTGTTGCCTCTAACTAAAAAATTAATTTATGCTTTTTTTAATAGCTTGTATTTCAAAGGTATCCTAGTTAAATTTTTTCTAGAAACCTAAGTTAATAGTGGTAACCTAAAGTAAATAAATTAGGAACTTAATTTGCATTTGTGCTTCACAATCCAACTCAATCTTCCTTTCCATCCCAAAATCTGCTCGTTTTCCCTCATGATTTTTCATGTGATAATGGCATACCAAGTAACTAAAGACAGACAAAGCATTTCAAGCACTCATTAAGAGTCTCCAACACATCGAAAATAATAATAATAATAATAATAATAAAAAGAATCTCCAGCACATCATTGTCATCTTCCACCACCTTCTCCCATTCGTCCACTTCCACCGACTGTTGGAATCATTTCATCGTTGTTGTTCACTCCATTGCAGTTAGGGCAATTCCATTGAATCGTTGCAAGATTCTCAAAGCGACACTTGAAACAGGTGACGTTCTAGGAGGTGACCCACAAAGGTTAGGAGGCAGCCATTTAGAGTAATATGTTGGGAAGCACCGGGGTGTCACCTAAGCACAGGTGAAATAAAAGCAACACCAAAATCTTCCCAAATCTATTTGAAATTGTTAGGAGCAAGCTAAATTGAGTCTAAAAATAATATGGCAGCAGCTGTAAAATATGCAGAACAATAGAAATGGCAAAGGCAAAGCAACCACCACAAGAGACACAATATTTTTACCTGGAAAACCCAAAAATGGGTAAAAACCACGGGACACCCAGTCCACAAAAATAGCTCCACTATAATAAAAGTGAGCACACAATATACTCTTCTAAAAGGACACAAAAACAGCACTAAATAAGAGGAAGAATAGGCCACAAACCAACAAAGTAAAAGGGACCAGAAGAAAACAGAGCACCAAAATACAAGCTACTGTTCAGGCCACGAAAACTGAACCTACAGAACCCTCAACGAAAAACTGACCGTTCATAATGTAGATTAGTGTCTTGTGAACCCCAAACCAAATTTCAGCTCAATCCAACAGTGAAATTTTTCGGATCGGACAAAGTTGCAAAACTGTGCACTGTACCAATCTGCAGAATTCTCCCCTGCTTTCTTTTCCCTTTTCAGCCGGCTGGTCCTTCACATGTTCTCCACTTTCTGCTGTCCAAATCAGACTCCATTCTTTGTCTTAAAGGGCTGCAAAATGTGGCTTCAAGTGGGCTTAACAATTGTGGGCTTAGTCCACAAATATTGGCCATTTCTCCACATAGGAGGGATAGGCCTAACCCAACATAATATTGGCTAGTTGAGGAGCGAGTGGAGAAGTCCAGCATCTTATATAGATATGAAGCTTAACTCCTGAAGAGATTAGAAAGAATTTTCAGTTGTTGAGAAAATGTTTAAATTTGTCAAAAATATTACTTTGACAGATATGAGATTACAATATGAAAGATCCAACAAAATGACTAAAGTAGAAAAGTACATCTTGTAAAGATAGTACTTATTTGTAAATCACTTATTTGATCTTTCAGACAACCTAACTTTGAAATTAATTCATCAACTTCATCATTTGCATCCTCTTCCATCATCTCTTTATTCTCCACCCAAAAGAGTATTGTAAAGGGAGATAAATTTTCATAGTTTAACTAGAGGAATATATGGGTAGATATATTTATACACATAATTTAAGGTTAAAACTATGGGGGATTTATATACAGCTTATAATGTTTTGAAAACCAATGGGCTTATAATGTTTTGAAAACCAATGGGCATATTAGCAAACCACTCAAAAGATTGGTTGAAATCCCATATTTACCCCTCAAGTGAGGAGGTAAGGACAAATCCACTCTCAAACTAAATATAGGGATAAATTACCCCTCTAACTATATAGGTTGGACAAATTACTTAAAATTAAACTATTAACATCATATTACATCAATTTTCTGTTACTACCAGCACAAATAAAAATACCCATTTAGTTTGTGGTGATTTATCCAATCAAATTAGTTGGTGGGGCAATTTGTCCGTACATTTAGTTTAAGGGTGAATCACTAAGATTTGAATTCTAAACTTGACCTATAAGACGACATTTGTTTACGAGTGAATCCAATCTTTAAATTTACAATATTTACAATATTTACAATATTAACACCATGTTTTGCAAATTAATATGCATATTTAACAACTGCATATAGGGTTTTCCTAAACTACCTATTATATTATAGCAGCACATAATGTTTTGAAAATTAATTAGTTTGAATTTTTTCAAAGCGCATACAAGGTTTTCCTAAATGGCATATGCCACAATTAAAATAGCGGACATATTTACAAACCCCACATCCAAGAAGAAAATGTTAGGGGGCCAAATTAATATTAGAAGATTTTAAGCAAGGAAAATTATTCACACATCTTTTGGTTTGACACATACATTGATATTCAATCAGTTCAATTATTAAACTATAACTTAAGTACAATTGATTCAACTAGTTCCTTCATAATGTATGCATGATTATATTTTAAGTTTTTTTTTACCTTTAATTTAAGACTAAAAAATAATAATTTTTTTTATAAGTATGTGAAACTAAAAAGTGTTTGCATCAATATCCTTTAAGCAAATTCAATTATTAAATGGGAAAATATTGTTTAAATGCAACTAACTGAATTATCTCACTTGCTCTCTTCATTCAACTTTAGTTTTTTTTACATTTTTATTTAGGCCTTTAAAAATAATGCAATTAATACCAATTAATACCATGTGGCATTATAAGCTACAACTTCGTGGAGGATGAGGATGGAAAGATGCATACTGATCCTGTTACTTATAAATTGTATTTTCCTGCTAGCTACACCTTTCGCAATACTGAAAGTAACATTTTCTACCTGGATGTTTCTAGGTTAGAAAAATAAGTTGAGATTGAGAATATACTGTTGCTATATTACTTTTTAGCTGCCAGAATAGATCCCCATGTTTAATTTGAAATAAGCACTTATTTTGCTTTGAAAAATTATTGGTATATAATCAGGGGTGGAGGCAGAAATTTTCTTCAGGGAGGCAAGATGCTAAAATTTTCAAAGTTCAGGGGAACTAGATAATTTTTCATATACTAATTATATACTGATTTGCAAGATTTTCAAATTTCAAGGAGGTGAGCACCCCCCGCACCCCTTGGCTCCGCCACTGTATATAATCGATTCAATGCACTTTTTAAC